ATATAGTTTTACTGTATTGAGAAAAGATTGTGAAGTCAGTAGTGTTTACTCTGCCAAAGCTTTTATTGCTTCTGCAACCATTTTCTGTTCGTACAAACTAAAACTATATAAAAGGAAAATAATCCTCAAATGAATGCAACTTGTAGAAAACAATGTGTTCTTCTATACTGACATTACAGATGACTTGATCCATGAAGATGATGCAGCTTGTGTAAGTTAAGATCAGCTGTGAATTTTTGAATGATTAATAGAGCAATATATAAATTACTAAAACAGTGCTTGGTGGTACATATGTATACTTTGATAAAAATTCTTTATCTGCTTTTGAGGCATTTATTTTTATCATTTGATAAATTAACATTTACATAATTCTTACACATTTTCTTTCAAATAAAGAAAACACTCGAAGCTAATTGTGAATTAACTCTTAGGTATGTTCACATGTTGGGGTGAAAAAAAACAGATTCAGCTGAAAGATGCCTCGCAGTAAAACAGTGAGTTTAGTATTAGCCATGGCAAGCGTCAGAGCGCACACAGTGAGGGGCATGCAGAGGGGGTGGCAGGGAGAGACCTGTGCCAACACCTCCAGCACATGGGATCAAAGACACAGCAGCTGGCACACAGACAGAGCTGCAGCAACTCACTTCCCATCAAACTATCTTGTGCAATGTGGACCAGAGTCCATACAGTATCTTGGAAGTGCAATCTAGCGGTCAAAGCATCCAAACCATCCTGGCAACAACACACAATGGAGCAATAACATCGTCTTTCTTTATTAAATCTGTCAAAGTCAATCATATCCATGATATTTCTATTTTGGTGCGATGCAAATGTTGGAGAAGAGCTTACTCTGATGATGACAATGGATTCATCTTTTATCTGTCAGATTCCTAATGGAAGCTGTATTATCTGAATGTATATTATTGGTGACTCATGTACGGATTTATGCATTCTTCAAAGGACATAGCAAGAGCCATGAATTAATCATGAGACATGGAGTGAATCAATGAACCGTCTACAACAGTTTTACAGCCATCAAGGCTACTGCGATCACTATAAATAAGGTGGTTTGCTTCAATGAGGCCTTGGGGTCTAAGAAATTGGATTAAAGTGTTTACTTTTGCCACAAAATTCGTCTGCGGATTGGGGGGGGGGTTGATAAACGTCATAAGGAGCCATGTTTAGGTTTTAGGTTATATGCTATTCATAATCCTCGCTGAATAGTTGGCGCGTGAAACATTTCAGTTATTAGTTAGTGCCAAAGGGCTACTCAAATAACGTGTGTACAATTTCGATTAAAGACTGGGGACAAAAAATGGGACAATCCATTTACTTGGTGAGCTGGTATCAACTCTGGGTTTTACTCAAAAGGTCTCCTATAAGACTGGTGCTACTGTTAGTCCAAATCACATCCTACTACAGAATAAAGGATTTAAAAAAGAGCGAATCTGTAACTGTATCTGTTTCAAATGACACAACAGTGCAGCTGGAGGTGACTCGCAGTTAAAACAATTAGGTGTTTCTTTTCTCTGTCGCTGAGCTTTGGTGCATCAGGGTGCAGTCTGACAGGAAGGAAATGGCTTTGGTCTCTATTTACTATTTATCGCACCAGCATTTCTCAGAGGTATCAGAGGAGGGATTTGGTGCTTGTGTGTAATTGTGTTAGAGCCCTCCCACATGCTGTCCCCAGTGCATCTTCTGTCTCCTCTCCTAATCTGTGCTGTTTGTCTCCAGATAAGTGATATCCTCTTCAGATTAGGATCCGGTGTCCGTGCCCTGCCCACCCGGAGGGGAAAGGGATCCCCAGTGCGTCCCCATGAGGTGCAAGCCGTATTTTTAGCTGTCTAATCCTTTTATAGCTCGAGCAGAAAACATAACCCCTTTCCATTAATTGTCCCAGGTAATCATGATACAATATGCCAGAGAAGAAGTCGGTTTTGAGAATATTCAGGAATTTGATGGAGCGCACATTTCTAAGATGTGATTTAGGGAAGAGAGGCAATCGTCCATTTTATGGCCCTTCAGAACAAGACTATCTCATGTCAAGCTGGTAACATGTTGCATGGGCTGAGATCACAATCAGTACATCCACAGAAAACACATTCTTTCAATGCAATTTCAGTTCACAACCTCTTGAATTGACAGCTTCCGTGGATGATTTTTTAATGATATTGCAACAAGCCAAACTTTGTTGAATAATGCATGATCCAATGTAACAAACGTTCCCACTGAGTCTGTAGAGACATGCTGGCGTGAGAACTGAGCTGTTGTAATCTTTGGCTTAGCGTATGTTTTCTTCAGAACCTGGTCTATCAGCGTCCCTATGTGTGTGCATGGTTCAATATTTATTTCACTACCCCAACAAAAAACAGCAGACAATCACTGTAACTATTCCCCAGGCACACGCCTCAGTACAAGATGACACAACACGACAAGAAGAAGAATGCTGCATCCTGTTTGTTTTGTCAGGACTTTATAGTGTTACTGTAAGGGTAAATACACAATTCAAGAAGAGTTTTATTAAATGGCAGCTCTGATGTTTGTATATGTCCCATTAGAAAGTCACTGTAAAGGAAATGACAGCTTTGCTTGTTTTAATTCTCAGTGTTTGCTGGTTTTCATTTACAAAGCCTAAAAGGCAAAAAAAAAAAGGATCTTCAGAGAGAAAAAAAAGACACTTTTCTTGTCTGGCACGAAAACAAGTCAAGTTGGATGTTATGTTCGGCGTGCTTCAGATTTCAGCCAGTTTACTTAAACATGTAACAAGTGGGCTGAGGCTCCAGGTCTGTAATAGCAGGCACGCTTCATTCATTAGGATTATGATGATCGAGAAAGAGTTTGCTTGAAACAGTCATGCTTTCTAAACTGCATTTATCATGTGTCAAAGCAATTTGCCAAGCGTTCCAAAAGGCAAAATGATGCTCTCAAGAAGCAAATAAAACTAAGATTATCCACTTCCACTCAAATATAGCCACGCAATTTAGATAATCTCCATAGAAAACTGCAAACATTAAAATGCCTTGCACATGTGATTACTTAGTTTGCTAAGCTTTTGCAGGTCTTATCCAAAGTATATTTGGTTCTGTTGAGCTTGAATTGCTCAACATCCTGTTGAGTCCAAGAGTCCAAGATATCTGACAGCTATGATTGAGTGTGTGATTGCCAGAGACAAACACAAGAACCTGCCAGCAATTTTGCAACAAACTTCAGTTAAAGGAGGGAATTCTGTAATGGTAACACCTGCTCAGGGACAGAGCAGACTGCATCAGTGAGGTGCGGAAAAATGAAAGCGAAATGTTCGAGCCAGAAAAATAAAAAAGTATTCCCACTGCAGCAAGTTTGTAATGAAATCCAGTTTTGCTCAGTGCTTTTTACAAATTTAAATGATACTGAGCAGAGAAAAAGTCTTGGGCAAATGTGTCGTCACTAAAAGACCTCACGCATTTTTTCAATAATAAGCAGTCCACTCCCTTGAGCTCCATTTGCGGTCACACCCATCACGCTGTCTGCCTCCACAAGGCTGATCCAACTCATACTTTCCCTCATTCCCCTCATCTCCAATAATATCAGAATATGCTGTGCTTCAATATTCTTTATTGTTCAATACTGCAGTGCATTATCACCACCGTTGTCGTTCTCACTGTCAGCAATCACTCAAGTGCCAAATAAAATGTAATGAAGACGGAGCATGACAAATCTTTCAGACCAATAGTGGAAGAGGAATTCAAATATAAGGAGAAGAAGGAAAAAAAAAAAGGTAAAGCTTCCTCTCCGTCAGATATAACTTTTATATAACCAAAATAATCAGATTTCTTGAATGATTGTGAAATTATTATATACATACCATTTCAATAAATAGGTGTATTTAATATTAAATTAATGTTTCCTTACAAATATATGGTACAGACAGGTAAATAAAAAGCAAATCCATTCAACAACAACCAACAATGTCCATCAGCATTTTTAGTAATGACAACAAAAACAACAAAAATAGAAACTATAAACACAACAATGTTCATATGACTGCTGTGAATTTGAAGGCACTTCCTTGGCAACACGTTGACCATTGATCCCTCTTCCATTATTCTGGGACCTGGAATTAATGAAAAAAAAAAGATTAGAGTTAAACATCTTCAGTTTCTGCTTTAAAGATTTATTTTAGAGAAAAAGTATTCCGTCCAGTATTGGCAAAGACAAATGCTGATATCCCGACCTTTCTAAGGAAGTCGTGTTGCTAGCTCTTAAAGAGGGTCATTACTGCCCTACCATTACTGGCATTCCTCTGTGTTATGTCTAAGCTCAATCAGAAATGACCAGGATGACTAAATAATGAGTCACTTAATGCGCCTTCAAAAGTCCTTCGATTGTGACATATACGTTTGTTAGATTTCTTAGAACAGTGCAGACAGGATCTTATTATCTGATTCACTTGAGAAACTGAATACCTGAGGATGTGTCAGCCTCTTCAATTTTTGAATCACCAGAAGTCCTATACCACGAAAAAACTCAAATTAACTGAAATGACCACTTGTGTAGATGAACTCTCACAGCAATCACTCACCAGCTAGACCTAATTGCTAATTCGCTGAGAGCACATGCTTTTACTCATGTTGGATTTAGGATCGGCAGCGAACGCATCAGACCTGCTGTCATCGAAGATCACTTTAACAAAGGGATGACTATGACTACGTCCAAAATGACTCCACTGACGACAGTCTGAGTCCTTCCTTTGTCTTGATAATGGCTATGTTTAGTGTTTAAGGTTAGCGTGAGAAGCATGTAGAACTGTTTCTGACAATAAGTTGACCAAAAGATGGCACGGCATCATGAGAGGCTTCTCACTAACAGACATTCCTGCACTCATTTCCAGGTGAGGCGTAATCAATCACACTAGTAGCAGTTCTTTTCAAAACAACAAAAGAGCTTTCACAAATGTACATGCATACAGTGGGTTTAAAGAAATGATTTAACATCAAGTGTA